TTTATAAGGGTGGAGTTTTGGAAAACAAACAGCAGTATCAATTTGGCAATCCAAAAAAGGTATAACACTGCAAAACAAGCATAAATAAGACCGTTATGTACGCTGCAAGTAGATCGTTTGCAACACGAAATCTGCTGAAATGCTCATTTATTTTTAAATTTTTTTTCTTTTATTTTTGAAAGCACTCTCCACTTTGCTGCAACAATTTGTCGTACATTATCTTTGAGCGCACGAAAAATTTTTGTTTATCATCGAAAGTTGCCTGCCACACAATTCCACCTCTGCACTGCCTACTTGCGTATCGCGCAGAGGCTTGGTTGCTGCCTACCCAGATTGCTACTCATTATTCATTTTGACAATATTATTGATAATGATGTCGATCGGTGAATGGCGTGAGTAAAATATTGAAAACAATTATTGTAAGATTGATTTTTTTTGTTTTTTGTTTTGCTTGCGCCAATGATTTGCAGGATGTGACGACAAAATACACCCATCACATTTACAGTTGTGGCACAGTTTTCAAAAGGGTTTCGCTGCCAGTAGTTAACGTGCGCATTGCCGGTCGCCTTCATCTGTTTGTTGGTTGGTGTTGTTTCCACTTGAAATCACCTTGTCATTTTTATTTAAATTGAGTTATCAGTGGAGTATCAGTAGCACAAAATTCACTCAGTTTTGCACACGACGACACAGCTAGCAAAGTTAGAGCTTTTGACTGGAGCCTCCTGGCCCGGCTCATTTGTCATGCCGTGCATTGCAAATATCCATCTATGCAAACAAGCATGCAGCTTCATTCATCGAAGCTAAGAAGGAGCAAGCGATCGCGGTACTCGAACGCATCTCAATTTCATTGCGAATCAGTTTCACTACACTTGACTTGGTCGATAAATGAATGCAGGGATGGCTGGTTGACTGGCTGGCTGGTTGGCTGGTCGACTGACTGTCTGCTTGGTTCTTCTCTTGTTGGTCTTGCTTCCATTGATTTCATGTACATATAGAACATATTGAAGAGTTTCTTCCGCTGCATGGATCATGTGTTTGTTTTTTTTCGGTCGCGCTATGTAGATATTGCTTATTATTATTTTAATTTTTTTGTCTTCTGATTTCGACTTCATTCTTCCCCAGAAATGCATTACAATGCAAGCATGATTTTCAAAATTTTTTCACTTCAATAAAACTCAATAAAATTTCGTTTGTAAGGTGAGGTTTGTTCTTATTTTTTCTTATTTGTTGTGTTTGCCTTTTATCTGTTGTTGTTGTTTAGTTGTGTATTTGTATTTGTGATTGTTCTGGTGTCTGGAATGTGGTGATGTCAAATCAGTTTTGGTTCAATATTTGTGTTAATGTGTCTTTCTTTCTTCATAACTTTTCAAACGGTTCATTGTGGCGGCGATGCGGTGTGTGTCGATGCGAGCACAGCCAATTTGTATATAATTTTACGGGTTAATGCACCTGATTGCTTGTTGTATGACGAAAGGAAATTGTGGGATATCTAAATTATTTAATCTTGAGAATGATATGCATTTTTTGTGAAAGTTGAGAGGGAGTGTGCGGCACGACCGAAATGTTAAATAAATAAAAAAAAAGGTGGCTAATTTTTAACTAGGTATGCATTTTTAGAATTTCTAAGGCATTAATGGACATTTTCGGCTTTGAGATGGTGTCAAGTTGGGGAGTTCGTAATCTGGTTTAGGTTTGATTATGAAATATGAAGAAAGCAGAAATACACACACAATTTTCTTTCGATATGATGAATACCTCTAATGCGATGCTTTGGTCTGAGTAATATGAACGCGGGGGTAAAGTCTAGGTATGAGGAAAAATTTTGAGTAAGAATTAAATATCAAATGAATTTCAGTAGGAAGTACATATTTAATATTGTGTTCTATGGCATCGTCTTTTAGTTTCCAGCTTTGTAGTCAATTTTCCATATAAGAAAAATACTAGAGATCAATACCGTGACCACGTCCCTAATAAGTAGGTTGCCAAGGCCGAGATTACAACACAGAGGTCTTGCATATTATATGGCTAAAATAAATACCGTTCTCGTAGTTTCGTTCTCAAAAACGCTTCAAAATTACAACCGAAATAAAAGCAAAACTTCTGAGAACGGGAATTATATAAGAACAAAACCCTGTGTATCGTTGTCAATGAGAACAGAATGGGAATAATACTTTCAGGAATATTTCTAAGAGAACAAAATGAGAACAACAGTTTCCGGAAAGTTTTGGCATAGAACAAAACGGGAACAAAAGTCTGAGGAACTTTCTCTCGAAAAACAATTTGGGAAATAAAATCTGAAGTACTTTCTGACACAGAACGAAACGGGAACACATTTTCTCTGAACTATTCGCGAAAAATGGAAACCAGAAAAAAATCTTTGTCATATTGTTCGATTAGTTTTAAATGTTTGAATATTAAAATTAATCAAAAAAGAACAAAGATAATTGTGTAAATAGTGGCAACGAAAGACTTAAGACACGAACTTGTTTTTTTTTGTGGCTTGACACTGGATACCTTGCATAGTTGGATTCGTTGCTTTGAATGTTTGTTACACACAGAGTTGGGCATTATTCGAATAAATTGTTATTTAGATAATTATTCGAATAAAATTTTATCCGTAATGTAATTCATTATTTAAAATAACGAATAAAATAACGAATAAATTATTCGCAAGCAATTTATTCACGAATAAGTTATCTGCGAATAATTTATTCGTTATTTTAAATAATGAATAAAAACTCATTTTTAACACATTGAGCCACCTTTTACTTTTATTTCTATTGTCAAGGATTGTGAGTTAGCTGAATTCTGGTTACTATTTTATCAAGAATACTAGCCCATTCCCTTTGGTTTCGCGGCACCTGATAAGATTTTTCGCGTTGGCCAATGCAAGAAAAACAATTTATTCATTTGTTATTCGTCATTCGAATAAATTTTGCCCAACTCTGGTTACACATAGGTTATTTCGGCTACCGATTAAAAAATGGCAGATAAGAGCATAGCCGATCAACGAAAAGCAGCCGTCCAAGACAAGTTCAGGATAGAAATGGCATTAATGGTAGATATTCCAATGCAATATTCTGGCAACACTAATTGTGGTAACACGGCTCGGAGGTTTTTTTTTAATTGTCAATTGTCTGCTCAAATAACCGGAGTAAGCCACGAATTAATAAAAATACTTGGCCTAATTTTTGCGCTGTATGGTCTCTGGATATTCAATAAACACCGACAGCTTTCGCGAATATGTATTGGATACCACAAAGTACACAAGATATTGATTCAATTCATGTTATTGAAAGTGTACCACTACCGAGAGACATGATGTCGGAAGAAGCCTTGGAAGCCAGAAATAAAGATTTGCGAAATTTTCGGCTTAAACATACTGGCAAAAATTCGCGCTTAAATGCAAGGGAGGATTTGATGAACTTGTTATTAGCATCTTCGGGTCCAGTCATAACAAGTTTGTACGAAACTTCATTAAATAACTGCAGCAATGAACTTTTTTTGGCAGGGAATCGCAGAATAACCTTTTCTATTATCCTTAACAATCAGAAAATTCCGATTCGGATTCGGAGAACTGACTCCAAGTACATGTTTTTCTAAATATTCAATATTTACAAATAGCAAGAATAAAGTAAAAAAATTAAAAAATAAAAACAATATGGTAGACTGCTGGCTATGGCGGCTGGGGTCGCGTTGGATCGAATCAGAGTTGAAGATGTCTGATGAGATGTGGTGATCTCTGAAATAGCCATAACTTCTACCAAAATGTAAATTGATACTTTTTTTCCGCAAAAATTTTCATTAAAAACGGCCTCAATACAATTGTTGAATTAAAAAAAAATGTTTTTTAATAATTATTTTAAAAATAAAAAAGAAAACTGTTTAACTTTGTTCGTTTTTAGATTAATATTACACATATAAAATTTCTAATTTTGTGAAATTTTCTTTATATTTTGAATAATTAATTTCGTTACGCTAGAACAGCCAAATCGACCACTGTGCGTCGGCATGGTTAAATATTAACCGATTTCAAATTAAAAAACCACTGTCTTCTTTTTTCGATGTTATCAAATTCTGGAGAGGGTGTACATACCCTCAAATGTTCATAGTGCATATTTATGCAAAGCTGTGCTCCCTTAAGTTTAACTTAAGCTGCATTTAAAAATGTATACTTGAGTTACGTTTAATTAATTCTTGAGCTGCTTTTAAGCGAAGTTACTACTAGTAATAGGAAAACTAAACTAAATATAAAACTTGTGTTCAACAACAAAAAATTACGAAAATCTTATGATTATACAGATTTTGCTCTAAAAAAACCTAAAGCGTCGACGGGAGAAACTAAATTAAATTATATAGCAACCCTTTTCGCACAAAATTATCGTATGTTACATTTTTTACGAAATTCACTTTTTGATGCAACTTTGTTTTACAACCCATAACGCATCAGCTGTTCAAATATTACGGCTTGAATCCAAATAGCTACCCCAAAAATTGACTGTAAATTTTATCGTATGTGACAATGATTTTTTTCTTGTGGACGAAATTATCATATGGGCTAAGAAATTATAACGTAGAGACCATCCTACAAAAAAGCCTTGCGTTTAGTTATATTTCTCATTTATCTCAGCAAATCTAAACTATCTAAACTTTGGTATTGATGGTGCTAGCCAAAGCAGAGAAAAATACAAAAAGTACTTTCCTGTAAGATTTGGTTTTTGTACGATACGATAATTTTGCGCAAACGCGTCGATATGTATGTACATGTGTATGTATATAAATAAAATAAAAATATGTACATAATATAGCATTCCTTTCAGACAAGAAAAGCGTACTAACGAGACCGTAAAAGTATTATGCGGTGCAGACCATCATTCTACATTAACACACAAGCCTTTAGTCTCATAGAAGTTCTACATTAGTACAATTTGCCTGCCACACATTTCGCTTTTTTTTTAATTCAAGCTACGATTTTCTACCAAAATTAGTTCGATATTTACCCCACATACCTTGGGAGAACCCAACAGCTTCTAAGCCGTGGGGTAATCCGAAGGGTCCAAGCGAAGGCATTGGCATTCCTGGCGGCAGCGGCCCATGCGGCACCGAATGATGTGGATGTGGGCCGCCATAGCTGTGCGGATGTGGACCCAAATCGCCGGATTTCAAGAAACCCGCAGCCATTAAGGCTTCTGTTGAGTGTAGAGCCACTGTGACGTCTGATGGGTTAGCAGTTGAAGGTCTAAAGAGAAAAATAAAACAGATATGTGATCAGAATATGGTGTAAACAAGGGAGAGGAAGTAGTATTTACTCGAAGAAAATTAAAGTTGATATGTAATTAACGTCTTGATTTCAAAATACTTATACTTATTAGATATATTTACAAAGTATGGCACTCCTAGTATTGGCCACAAAAATGGCAACATACGAGTGCTAACAATGGCTAACAAAAGTGGCCACCCGTCGGGATTTGCGTGTGTAAATAAATGGATCCCTTTCCTACACTATTTTGTATAGTGTATAGACAACTGCACAAGGGGTGGTCGCTCACTCGATTATTTCTACTTGCATTGCTAGTGAGTGACGAATATCTTCAAATACTCACCGTTTAAGTTGTCGCTGCCGGCGTTGTTGTTGGTTTAGTCGTTACAATATGGGTATTCATAAATTTAAATTTCAGGCAGATGTGTTATTAATTTACGTGTGCGCGTGAGCATGTAATTTGGGGTCGAGTATATGGTTACGAGTATGCCTAATAGCTGCTGCTGATAATCGGCAATGATGATGATGAGGATGCGGATGGTGATGGTGATGATGCGAAGAGTGCTGACTGATTTCGGGCGACGAAAGTTGTTGAGTTGAGTTTCGGCTAATGCATCGAAGAAAAAGGCAATAAACCACCAATGCATTTGAATGCAATGAAACGTGAAAACGATCTGACAAAACAAAAAGCATATTTTCGGGAAAAAAAAGAAAAACTACAAACAGAGGTGTATTTGTAGGTAGGGAATTGCATGCGAATCGAATAGGCAGACACAGTATTGAGGGTACGAAATATGTTAACAGCAATGTATGCGGTAGACCAAATCAGGGCAAAGGATCAGCCCAACCAACTGACAAGCATATGAGCCAAAGACAAAGAGTGGACGGACGAAGGCACAAATGAAAAGGACTACATTTTGTGGTAAATAGTGATCGCACATGCGAAACGAAGGTGTGGATATGTGAAGCACGTGTTTTTTTTTTTTTTTTGCATACCTGATGAAAGGAAAATTCGCCATTTAGGATAACCGAAAAATGTATGTTATATTTGTTTTTATGAGAAAGAAAAGTACACATTTTGCAAGAACTGGGTAATCCGGCAATTGAATGAGTCACTGAAAAGTATTTTAAGTTAATGGAAATTTGCAAAGCCGACAAAACACGCACTGACATAGCCACAAAAGATGGAAAAGGATGAACAGACATGCGTCTCTACATTGCACGAGCATATTTGGCTTTTGTTTAAAATTTCAGAATGCATGTGCAATAATTTTTTGCTATTGCAATTTGTAGGTAAGAACAGTCATAAAAACTAATCCAGGTCGCAAGACTATGCATAGCGAACCACGAATCCTTTTAAGTGAGCGTATGGATGTCTGAAGAGAACGAATAAGCCTAATCGATGCTTTCCAGCGATAACAACCAGAATTTTATGGAGAAAGCAAACTAAAGATCAAAAGGCCACCGCAAATTAGGCGACAAAGTGTTGATGGAAATACGAAGATTTTGTTAGACGAAAAAGTAACACAGGATATTTGTGTAAGACACAAAAAATTGTGAAAATGCGGTGAAATAATTTTTCAGTGCACTTACTGCACTACAAGTACAAAACCAAAAGATAATATTTATTTATATATTTTTCGAGACACACAGCACCGCATTACATAAGAAAAATGGTAACAGCAACAATTGCTGTGATTTTATTATTGTCAACTACAGTGATTTTGAGCATCATAAGTGGCAGACATATGTATGTATGTATATGCACCTATAGATGGATGTTTGCATGTATCTATTTATTTTTGTACGTGACTTTTCTGTAAATTAGCGCAAAACTACAGGCACAAATAAAAATATACATAACTACAAAATACTAAAACATTTGGGACCTTTCGTACCAATGAACGCACCACAGAGCCTAACTAACCTACCGACAATCATCAATGGAAATAATCAAAAGCAAAAACTTGATACATACAAATACATACATATATGACTAATGAGTTAGTCTAATAGCAAACGAGCGAGCGCGTACGAGTTACATTTGTCTCTTACCGAAAAAAAAAATCCAAAAAGAAATGGACCTTTATTAATTTTTTGCCGTTTTAAAATCTAAATCGTTTTTCTGCAACTTTATCACGTACGCATGCGCATTACATTATTTTGAAAAAAAAAAAAACAATAAAAAAGAGCATGAAGAGAATAATAGATTTTACTTTCAGTTTCCGGCAGCTCGAAGCAACGGAAAATAAAATAAAACTAACAAATCAGAAACATAAAAGGAAATAAGAAAAATCTCAATTGCACATGACTGCCATTGTTGAATTGTGTAAATGAACCATATCCAGCTAGTTAAATGCAGATATTCATTTGTATGAGTATTTTCCGTAGGAACCGTGACTGTTGTGTAGTCAGCAGTCAGAGGTATAAATCAAGGAAAGGCCTAGACAACTTCAAAATCATACGAGAACACAATTTTTGTACTTAAAATTGGTGCTAGTAAACGATAAAAACACCCACCCTTTCAAATATAGTCTTACCTATAGGGGCTCTCGCGCGCATAATTTTATCATAATTTGCTTTAAGTTGGCATCATTTATTCACTTATTCACTTTCAATATACAGACGCGCACTTATGCACGAATATTTTCTTCAACGTTCCCCTTAATTACGGTCAAAATAATATTATTTATTTACGGTAGCAATAGCGGTATAGGTAAACATCAACAAATGCCCAAAGAAAATAAATATACAAACATGCCAAAAGAGCAGTCAGTCAGTCGAATCTGTCATTTAACTATTATTTATCTAAGCATGTTAGAGTTAACTAATGGCCAACTGGGCATTAGAAATGCCATATGGAGCAAAGCGCATAGCAAGAAGCCAGAAGCTGGCAATGAGAATATGTACTAAGAATAAAAAAAATACTAACAAACATGCCTGGGAATTTGCTTGTGGGCAAACATGTCTGCAGCTAGGAAGCTGATTTAGAAGATGTGAGAAAATATATGATTATATATACCGATGTATGCATCATTAGTTTCAAAATAATGTTCATTGGAGCCAGGGGCGCACAGTGTAACGCCTGTGGCCAAAAATAGTAAAAATTAAGGTGCTGAGTTTAGAAATATTTTGTTGGGGACCGACCATAAATACTCTTATTAAAAGAGGACTAAAAGTTTTTTCACTATTTCCTCTTTTTGATTAAAGAATTTGCTTCTGAAAGCAGAAGTTTAAAAAAACGTTTCTTTTATATTCAAAAATTACTTGTTTTTTAAACTGTCTTTTGAAGGCTGCAAGCTTCTCATTTATGAAGCAATTTTCTTAATGTTATCTGTAATCAACTTTAGATGCACTTAGCGTTCAATCGCTTTCTCCCCATACACTTCTAATTTTACGTTTCTGAGTATAAATTCATAAGAAAGGATATTAAATGCAAATAAAGAAAAGAAGAAAATATAAAATTTGATAACAACAAGTAATTTTTAAGCAAACAACAAAACCGATTTCAATTCTCATAAAAACATTTGAGATTATCGTTAATTTCTTCATGATCCGATGATCGGACTTAAACTAAATTAATATGTGAGGTAACATCTTTCCTTTGAAAAAAAAAAAAACTATTATAGAAATCGGTTAGCGTGGTCCATTAGGGTTTGTGATGAGAGACCATTTATTCGGGGTAATATATGTATGTAAATGAAGAATGCCTCCTATTCTTATTATTCTTATTTTCAATGTATTTTCGGTTGAGATAGGGCGTTTTTGAACCGAATTATAAGAAAGGGCATTCTGAGATAGGGCATTTTTCAATCAAATTCTGAAGTAGGGCGTTCTGGAAAAGTTTTCTAAGATAGAGCGTTGTTGAAAAATTTTCTGAGTTCGTTTTCGAACTGGCTGCCGTGGTAGGTCGATCTTCTACTCAGGAATCGATGTTTCCTATGAAAATAATACTGTTAAATTTTTTTTTCCAAGTACAACGGTTTGAAAAGATTTTTGGTTTCCTTATAAATAGAGCTTCTATTCGAATTTTTTACTGCCTTAAAAAAGGAGAAGATTATCAATACGTTGGAATATATTTTATTTTTATTTTTTTCTTTAATGTATGTTACCGCATAATTCGATAATTATTTTTACATCGGAAAGGTAGTGTCCCACAGGTGGTCCCATATCAATTTAGTTTAGATCCGATTATTGTATCATACAAAAATAACGGTATTCCCAAATTTGTATATGAGAATTGAAGTCGGTTGTGTTTTTTTCTTAAGAATTACTTAAATTTTCCTTAAAAATTAAAAATTTATTAGATTTAAATTAATTTTCGGTCCATAGTCAAATTATTTAGTCATTTTTAAACGCTCTATAATTTTATTACATTAATTTAAAAATAGTTTTATTGAAAAGAAAATTAAAATTACGATGTTATAGATTTTAAGTAATTTATTTTCGCTTAAATTAGCAAGGTTTCCTATGTGTTAAATACAGTTTTCTTAAAGCTTAACAAAATTTGCTGCCAATTTTGATTATTATAAAAGTGATTGTGGCGCTAAAACCAGACTTCGTTACATCCATAAAATCAGCACCTAAGCAATTCGCTTTGGCGCAACTTTTGGGTGAAGTGACGCATTCAATGCCAGTGCGATTTTTAATTCATTTTTAATTTGAAAACTTATAACTTATTTAAATGCGTTAGTTCAGACGCGCATACATACACATACATACGTATGTAATAAATGCATTTGTGCATACAAATGTATTTATGCAAATATGTAAATATTAACGGACATATGTACGTATCTACATATGTAGAAGTGCTCTCACATAACGTGAAAATTCGCAAACGTCAGCGTGTGTTTAAGGAGAACGCAATTGACAGACAGCAGTTAGGCATCGGCGTGGAAAAATTGCATTTGCATTTGCATATGTCAAAAAACTAATTAAAAGCAAACAACTTGTTCGCAAGTCAAACACCAACAACC